CTTACATAACTATTGTCATTAACACACATTCTCAGTAATTAAATTGTCTATAACGTTATTATAGCCTTTTGACAAAGAAAATATGTTGTTTGATAATATGAATACGTTCAATCTTACATAACTATTGTCATTAACACACATTCTCAGTAATTAAATTGTCTATAACGTTATTATAGCCTTTTTATTATTATTCTCATTCTGTCAGAATGTTTATTGAGTCGTATTATGTCAGAATGAAAAACGATGTGTGAGAACATAAATGAATAAGAATTAGTGAGAATTCATGAAAATGACGATATTTTTGTAAGGTTGAATGTATTTGCATTCGTAAACAACTTATTCTCTTAGTAATTCTCATAGAATAACATTGTCCACACATCCGCACAATAATTATCCATCCACATTATAACCTAGCCCTATATATATATCAACATTTTCATTGCATATTCTAGAGCTACATGAAATAATGTGCAGGAAGACAAAAAGTAGATAATGTTCTGAACTAAAGTTGAGGGAATAAGCAGGTTGAATAACAGATTATCAGGTGCTCTATGCACATTAACTAATATAGATTGTAAAGCTACACTAAAGTTGCTCAATAAGACCAATACTCCATGCCTCAATAAGACCAATACTCCATGCCACAATAAGCAGTTTTACCGATACATCTACAAAATAAATTACAACATAAATTAGTCAGACTTTTTACACAGGATCCACAAGGTTTATATGTTAATCAAATAAAATCTTGATTTATCTTTTAACGCATCCAAAGTTCTTTTTGTAAGCTCTGATACAATTCATTGTAGAAGGACAAGCTTCATGGGTTGGCAACTGATTTGCAGGATAACAAGACCGGCCAACAAATAAGGTGCAAATCATTAGAAAGACAATTGAGCTCTTCAACATTGTTTTGGTGAAAGAAGAAAGGCACATAGAAGGAACCTTAGCTTCTTCATGTTTTCAACAAGCTTAGGAAAACGTGATGAAGACCTTTAATGTATTCATTGTCTCTTTAATCTTACCTGATATGCATGTCAATGAAAGAGCTGAATAAACTCATTATGCGATAATTGTTGAAATATTAAGCTAGACTTAGTGATTAGTAAATGTTGTTTAAAGAAAGATTGGACAGTTAAAAGTTGGTAGTTATTGCTCAAGGGTTGCAACGGTTACACACCCATTGTGATGGTTCGAGGATATTCCATCCATTATGATGGTTCAAGAATGTGTCGTATACTCTCTATATATACATGTAATAATCTTATGTAAATTGTATTGATTGGTGATTAATAAAAGCTTTTGTTTTCTGTACAAGAATCTCTCTTTGTATCTCTTTATCTCAATATATATGCTTTCTCCAACAATAATAAACTAGCATCATACATCATGTCTACCTTGTGATTTATAGTTAATGTTAATTTCTAGTAGTGATTAATTACTGTTGGCCCCCTCATCATACCAATCGTGTAATCCACCTAGCATCTCTAGTTGGTCAAGGTCATTGACATCATCAAGAACAATTCGATTATTTCTATTACACAACCTACTTTTGATCTTTCATATTCTTTCTTCCTTGCTGTGTTAGACTATTCCTGTGGCAGTTGGAGGCAGTTACGATGTTATGATGTGACTTACAGGTGATTTTTAGCTCTGATGTGAGTCACACCCTGTTATAATAAAGAGGTGGTGCTTTCCTGTATAAATACAAAGTGTAGTCCTATGAATTAGCTAAAGTTTATATAGAAAGCATTCTCTCTCAATATTCGATGTATTTTAGGGTATCAGAACCTAGGGCAAATCAGAAGGAGATCTCACCACGATATGCACTAATCTTCAGGTCATTCATTCTCCTCCTTGTTAGAAATTAGGTTAATAAAAGGTTTGGAAATTCTGAGAATCGTGTATGCACTTTCAGATTAAAGTATTTGGGTGGTACTCCCAATCTTTAATCGGATAAGACTCAGGAATGAGAGCAAGAACAGAAAATCTGGTTGTTATGAATTTCGTGTGTTTTTGTTGTACCAGAAAATGATGATGACCAAAATGATTAAGTACTTTATTTTTCTGAAAACTGTCAAGGCAGTTTTCTTTGTCCAAAAAACTACTCCAACTGTCAAAACCAATAACAGTCACTAAAACGGAATCATTAATAAAGGTCAAAATGAAGTAAAAAAACCGGGTTTATTTACAGAAAATTCAGATCATTAATCGATCCCAGCCAGGGGCTCTGTCCCTTCGACCCCGCCAGGGGCTGCCGCCCTTTGGACCCCGCTCCCAAGGACGCTGCCCCCGGACCCCTGTTCTTTTAGGGGCTTCACCCCTAAATGACAATCCACTTTGAATCTTGAATAAACTTAAACAAGTGTGCATTCTGCACCTTCGTTACTTGTTTACTATTCATCAAGATTGAATTTTGGTCAACAAGTCAATGCATTACACTTAAATACACATTGATGATACAAAATCACCAACACTCCCTTTACAATTTTTTTCAGGATTTTTGTTGCAGTGTAATCACAATCATAAGTTCAGAGTCACTCGGACTATACAAACCGGCAAAGAGTCGAGAGATCTATGTATGGGTGTATGGGTTTGTTAGATGTCTCTCTATGCGTGCCATAAAATATTGATAGAAGACTTGGAATTATCATGGATCATAAATGCCTTATAAAGATCATTTTCCTCATGCCAAAATTCTGAGGAATCTGTTGCAACTTTTGTTGTTTGGAATTCCACCGGATGATCTTTACTTTTTCTAGGAACGAGCTCAGCTGCAAACGAAGTCCAATGCCATTTTATCGAAAATGAAATAATATTGTATGATGGATTAAATGATGTGGACTGCCTCAATGAACTCAAGGAAACATATCCCACTTGTGTACATTACCGTCCACCATAATCAGGCTCTGGTGCTTCATTAGAATCCTGCCAAATCTCAAACCCAGAATCTTCTTCATCTGGCTACTCTTTCATGATCACGTCTATTTTCAAATGTCCAAAAAGGGTAACAACACGTATTAAGAACCCAGAAAAGTCATTGCACCAATCATCTGGAAGACGCAGTCTAAACGAGTCGGCATCGTATTTAACATGTGGGAGACGCTTTGTAAATCTTTTTCCCCTAAAGGACCTACCTGCAAACCCCTTTGGAATCTGACGTGGAATAGAGAAACTGATAAAATGATCTTCAATAGCATTCCCCTGCCATGGAAAACACATTCATTTATTTGTATGTTGGGGTTAACTAATATGATAAAGATTGAAATTCAAAAGGTACGTAGAGTAGAGGCGCCAAACCTGGAACATGGAATCTAGTAATATCTCACCAACAAGTGGACCTACTTTGTTCTTTCCCTGAAGTAAGACTTTCCACAACCATTTACAGTTTGAAATGTCTCCAAACCTTTCAAGTGACATACAATGAACCGCCTTAACAACAACTATACTTGATGGCAGATCAGACAGTTGTACCAGGTCAAAGCAGTATGACACGTCTAGCCATTTGAGCCGAGGAAGTCGCAAGCAATTAAAACTTAACCGTGAAAACTTATTTCCTCTTAGATTGAGTTGTTGCAGGTTTGGAAACTCTAAAACATCAGAGCCTATGTCTTCATCTCCCAAATTGCACTCCCTCAGATCCAAGTTCCTTAAGAAACGGAGTTCTTGCAAGTTGTGGAAAATCCCTAACCAACATAAAAAAGGCTCCTCTACACAACATTCTACACCAGGAAGATTACTGCAACCACACCTCCAACAAATAACAAAAAATAAGTTCTGACAAGATTCTATGTAGGATGCAACTTCATTCCCACTATTATCCAAATCAAGAAGTGGTGAATTATCCATCTTCTGTCGGTGGATCTTTGCAAACTTAACAAGTTTGGGGTGCTCTGGGAATGAAAAGCTCTCCAGTTTCTTTATTCCCCAAATGGGTGGAAACATCTCAAGACTGGGACAACCTTCTACAGAAAAGAAAACAAGGTCTTCAAAGCATCCAATCGATGGATCAATCTCTTTTAAACAACCACATGCCTTAAGAATGAATCTTTCAAGATTTGGAAGTCCATTAAAATCCGGTGTCATGATTAGCTTCTTCAAACTGTAAAGTTTCAATAACTTCAAACTTGGCAGCAACTGTTGAATAAAAGTAAAAAATGTATCAAGGTGACAAGATTTTGAGGAAAATGGCATGCACATAGACATACATAAACACATGCAGACAAACACAGTTATACACAGGTAATAATTAGACAAAAAAAGCTAATTCCTTCCATCCGCAAATGGAGATCATCTGTAGTGTTCAATTGTTTAATAAAATATCTATAAACCACTTAAGAAAAACAAGATAATAAAAGATCTTTAAACCCAAATCAGTTATTGTTGGGTTAATCGGTTTGTTCAGGATCACCCGGGTCATGGGCCGAAGTTGTGGATCAGTTCATGGGTTTACAATAGTTTAGCATATTGTAATTCACTCGTTTATTCGTGTATTTTACAAGTTTTGTGAAAGTTTACCAGGTCAAAAGTCATGGGCTTGTTCTTCCTGGCTTTTAGGAACTTCACGTAGGAGTAGGTTAGCTACCTATTCTTTAGGATCAAGTTTGTTTGTTTCTTATTTAAATGTTAATTGTGAGATCAATGAAAAATGTTCAGGTGATAAACTCAAATCTACATAACATAAGTTCTGAGTGTGTGTGGTTGTGTGTGTTTTTGAGGGGCCGGAACCAACAGTTATATCAATATATTATAAAATTGCTTTTAATCAACCGAAAAATAGATTGAAATCTCACCTAAATAGTAACATAATATTTATTTTCGAAAAAACAAAAAGAAATTTGTATCTATGTTAAGTCAAAAGGATATTTAGATGGAGGATGGGTTTTACATAAACACCAAGGATTACAATGACTAGTATGTCAATAAACAAGTTATATTTTGAAAAGTTTATAGTTATTTAGACAAAGGACATTCACAGAACAAAGGTCCATGCTTTTCAATACTATATATAGTTGAAATTTACTCTGGATTAGTCATGTTTTTAATTCATCATCAACTTTGATTTCATCTGTCAATTAGATAAAGTGATAAACAGTACGAATTACCTTACAACCCTCCCAAAGTTGTTTTTGAGAGCCATGGGACAATATAAGACAACAAAGCTCCCTTAGTGGAAGGTCATTAAACAATGATTTTGCAGGATCACGTATCGATTCCATATACCGAAGGTTCTTCATGTTTGAAGAAAACCAAGGAAGATCTTGTTCTTCCTCTGATTCTGGCTGAAACCAAAAATCTATTTTTATTGCTTCGATCTTGTCAAGGTCCTGTGATAGAGGAACAAAATGGTGTCATAACTGAATCAAAATTGTTTGTTCATACATACATAATATATCATGCAAAGCTTAGCTTAACCATTACCGTGGTTGCATCCATAGCACATATGTAATATTTTCATAATATATTCATTCTCCCAAATTCTACTATGTTTTTCAAGGTTGTTAGGGTGTTCCCCTCTAACAATGCGGTGTCCCATTTCTTCCACCAGATCATGCATATCAAATCTTCCATCTTCTGAAATAGTTATGAGAGCCTTTTGTCCCAACACCTCTATTCCTATAACTGGATGAAAACCACAAGCATCAAGTCTCTCCATTGCCTCGTCTTTCTTCTCCCACCTAAAAAAAACATGCTATATCAAGAAACAAGTCTTGCTCAAGCGGTTTAAGTCCATCAAAGCTGACTTCTAGCTTTCCCAGAATATTAGTATCTGGGATCTCTTTCAGTCTGACTATTGCACTCCTCCACTGATTCATATCTTTGTGACATAGAAAACAACCGAGAACTCTTAGTGCTAATGGGAGCCCGCCAGCATAAGAAACCACATCATTTGTAAGCACCTCATAATCTTCAACACGTCTATCACCCCGGGGTGCATGCTTGCAGAAAAGCTCCATGCCCTCATTATTATTTAACAAGGTAATTTCGTGTATCACATCGACTTTTTGAATATTTAATAAATGCTCGTCTCTTGTTGTAATTATTATTAGACTTCCTTCACCGAACCAATCATGCGATCCTGCTAACGCTTTGAGTTGTTCAAGGTTATCAACATCATCAAAAACAATCAAGACCTTTCTATGGCACAGCCTATCCTTTATCATGCGTCTTCCTCCTCCAACTCTATCTACTCCCATTTTTGAGAGAATATCTTCTTCCAACTTTCGCAGACCATACCTGCTTGCTTCCTCTCGAATATTTTGAATAAAGTAGCAACCATCAAACTGCCTACAGATTTCATCATATATGGAAGAAGCAAGAGTAGTCTTACCACAACCACCAACCCCCCATATTCCAAGCATGCGCACACCACCTGACCTAATTTGTAGCTTTGATTTAAAAATCTTGCATGCGAGCCACAATTCCAACCAGCTGGTTGTCATTCAAACTCGAAGTTACTGGATGCAACATCAACGAAATTTTCTCAACAATTATTTTGATAAACTTTGATTCATCCCTACACATTGAATATAAAAGGATAATCAACACATGCTCCCAATGACAGAAGAGGTAATTCATTTCATGCTTCACGATATAAAGTAAAAGAGTTCTAATTAGCCTTTGCATTTCACACTCAAAATAGAACTTGTAAAGATACTATCATAAGTAGTTTGAAACAATTTTCTTGGGAAACATCAATTAGTTTCAGATAGCAAAAACTAAAGAAAGATGATTTTGTCGCTGTAAGTTAAGGTGAGGCATTAAGTACATAATAAGAATTAGAGGTAGAACTCACCGAAGTCCACCATTAACTTATTTTGAGCTTATCCGTAACCCTAGATTACAACCAAATCACATCAACTCTTCTCGTAATCCTACATAACTCTCATTGTAATCACATGGATGTGGGATATCTTTTAACTTACCAAAATTATCATCTAATCCACTCAAAGCCTCTGTTCATCAACATTATCAAAAAATATTTGAAACATTTGTATATAACAAGCCTATAAGATAAAAGTATAAATGCCTTTGAGAGCACACATGTCCCTGGATTGTAAAATATGCAAAAAACAAAGAATTAATAACTTACATGTTTGTATTGTCATTGAATTCCCATCCAGCAATGTTACTTGCATCCACAACTGCTTTTTTCCAAGATTCAACCTTGGTCTGGTTCTGCAACTCATGGTTGACAGATTCGTATATGTATTTCTGATTCTGTTCTCGTGGTGCAAAGAGCCATCCCAAAGGGTTTTCCAAAACTGATTGTTATGACAGAAGTATACAATCAACAAATCTAATTGAAATAAAACAAACGAAATTC